TCAGAACCCTTAATATATTTTCCTACTTTAATTGAATTTTTTTAATTTGTTTGTTCCAGGTATTGCACAAGATATCGGAAGTTCTCGAGCCCGTTCAGCCTCGAGGTTCAGAATTAATATACAACCCGAACGCCTATCAATTTCTCACGCAAAGTGAAAACTTGAATCTTGGAAATCATCGTATACGGTAAGTTGAACTGTCAATTGTAATCGATGCAAAATAAGATAATTTAATTGCCTAATGTTTTTGGAAAAAAAATTCTTTTTATTTGGTGTGTGTTGAGTGAGAAAAAATTTTTTTGAAACGAAAAAAGTTTCACTGTATTAAAAAAAAAAATTTTCCAAAGTAGATGGCTTTTGCAGAACTGCACGAATATTTATTCCCTCATAACTGTATACGAGTCTTGGTTTCGTACTAACTTCAATTTGTGATATAACGCAGGCTACGCGCGAGATAGCTCAAACGAAACGTATCTATGAGCTTTTCGATCTAGTTTTTTTTTTTTTTTTCCCTACCCTTTCCTGTAGAGTAAATTCTCTTTCAATCGAATGGAATATTGTTTTTCTGATTGAAAATTGACGAAAAACTTTGTTGAGTTTTTTTTTTTTTTTTCAGCACTTTCCAGCAACGGGTGAGGTACACCGAAAAGAAAAATGTGTTCAGCGCAGAGGGAAAGTACACCTTTTTCATACCAGTCGACGAAGGTTTCAAGGTATTTTTAAATTCATTTTTAATTGCGTGTCTCGAGTTTTCCATGCGGTTATACCTTTCGATTGGATTATAATATATATGTATATTTCGTGACGATTTCATCAAAATAAATTATTTGGATGCTCCGATAGTTCCCTAGTATATTATTACTGATGCTTCGGCTGATCGAATTTCATTCGATCAAACGAATTCGTGCCAGTTAATCAAGAGCCAGAATTTAAGAGTAAAGCCTCACGATAACTCAATTTTTATATTTTAAAAATATATCAAATTGCACCTGGATCTTTAAACGCAAGAAAAAAAGATTCTTCACCCAAGTTTATCGGTCTATTTAATTACAGTTATACAGTAGGTGAGGGAAAATTTTAATGATGGAAAAAAAAAAGAAAAGAGTGGTTCTGCAAACAATTAGGTTATTAGATAAGAAACAAATTTTCTTTTTAAGGACAAATGAAACATTCTGACAAAAGTATAAGTAAGACATGACAGCCAGATGAATACTAAAAGTAGTTCTTTAAGTTTGATTTTTTGAAAAAATTTTCAGGATTAATCATAAAATCTTTAACAATATCAAAGTCCTACTACGGACATGAAACACGTATTTGTATATATATGAAACATAAATTTGGTGTCGTGTAACATATAAAAATATGATAGCAGTTCGTAGAATAAGCTTTTGTCGGGCGACACGGCGCATTCTTGTGACGTGATCTCACCTCAAAATGTACTCGAACGCCACTCATAAATTTTCCATACTTCCTAGCAATGAGCAACAAAATAAAAATTATCTGTAATTCATTACCCACTTATTACTGTGAAATACTTACCATATGTAAGAACTAAACATTTTTAATATCCGTCGAAAATATGTCTTGCAACAAAGAGAAATTTCAAGCGTTTAAAAAACATTCATTACGTTGCTATCTACGATATCTATTTAGTTGCTGACTGCCTACTGATACGAAACATTTTAAGAGCTACTCATCAGTTTAAGCGTATACAGACTATAGTTTCTTCGTTGATCTTGTTGCAGTTGGTTTTAAGAAGTGATTATTTTTCTACAGTTACGACTTAAAATATATAACGTGTAAAAATTAACGTGAGCCATTGGTTGGCCAAGAATAGTCAAGGATTGTTTGTCAATCAAAAACAATCGATTATTAATTCGGGAATCAGTGGGTGAGTTTTTCCATAAAGAACAAAATCATTTCGTTTAATATTAAAAAATTTACTTGAATCGAAAAATATAGACGTCTAACTTATAGCACACGATATCGTTGGCGTTAATCATGGAGTATAATCATTAGCTTAAAGAATAGTTATAACTAAGATATTTTACAAGCAGCTAATGTCACGGGGATTTTGTTTTCCACAGCAATAAAAACAAAAAACCACTTGTGTGAACACATTGTAAATCCATTGTTTAGAATCTGGTATGAGAGACGACAGAAATACAACAAAAAAGGAAGTAAATAAGTAATAAAATAGCAATCACATCGTCAAATTGGTCACAAATATGGATAAACTTAACAACCAGAGGCAGAATTACTGTAACTTATGCAAGCATTCTTTTAGCTGTTTCGGTTCTTTTAAGAGGCACATGAAAATTCATACTGGTGAAAGGTGCTTTAGCTGTGAAATTTGCGACAAAACTTATGTACGAAAGGACAATTTCCAAGATCACATGCGAAACCATTACAATGAGAATCCCCATAAATGCAGTGTTTGTCCAAGAACCTTCAGCCGTAAAAATAAATTGGAAATTCACATGAAAATTCATACTGATGAAATGCGCTTGAGCTGTGACATTTGTGACAAAACTTATGTCCGAAAGGACAGTTTAAAAGATCACATGCAAACCCATTATAATAAGAATCCCCACAAATGCAATGTTTGCTCGAAAACTTTCGACCGCAAAAGTAAACTGGAAGCTCATATCTGTACCCACATTGGCAGGAAACCCTTAAGTTGCTCTGTATGTTCGAAAAGTTTTAGTTATAAATGTAGTTTATTGAAGCACGCGAAGATTCACACTAGAAATCAGTTCTCGCGTTGTTCAACATCTTTGGAAAGTCTCAATCACAAGAACCATCCAAAAAATAACATAGAAACCTATACTGGAAAAGAGCCATTGTACACAACACCTTTCAGAAGATTCTACCAAAGCGGCCATCTAGAAGAGAGCATAGGAACCCGCGCCAGTCAAGAGCCTACGTGTTCGACATCTTCCAGGAATTTCAGCCAAAATGGTGGCCTAGCAACGCACATGGCAACGTCCTTTACTAAAGATCATTTCTATTCAAGGGGTTCAAAAAGTTTTAACCTAAGCAGCTACGTAAATAATCACGTAGGTAATCGTAAGGGCGAAAAAAAGTCATTTGAGTGCTTTATGTGCAAGAAAAGCTTTATGACCAGAAATAATTGGGAGGTTCACTCATACAATTGTGATTAGTGCGATTGTCAGGGACTAAATATTGGTATGTGTCATAACTTTTTACGCTTTATCGCACATTGTAAATTCAATTTGATAAAAAAAAAAATTTTTATAGTACGATGGTTCACGTGACGAGGCTTTTCTTCTTCGAGATATTTGATTTGCTTAAACCGAGTTCATGGTCTATTTGGATTAGATGGATTAAAAATTTTCTAATGTCTATAGTTTTAATTTAATTTGGATTGATTATAACAGATTGTGCATTTAAAATTGTTTTTGACAATGGAAATGATAATTTCATAATACGTTTCAGATAACAATAAGAATAAAAAAATAAAAAAAAATGAAAAAATAGCGAATAAGCAGTTCCAAAGTGAAATAAATGTTACTCTTTAAATTGAGATGAATAATTATCATTGTAGAAATTCTTTAAAACTTTAGATACTTTGTCGATTTTCAGAGGTAGGAAGATAAAGCTCATAAGCCAAGATTTTTCAGAATAATTATTCATCAGTTAATGAATAATTATACACGATGAACAGCTATTATGTTATAATTATTAATTCCTAATTAATTATTTTTGCTGAATTACAAAAAATTAATTCATTAGTTATAAAAGTACATAAGTACATACTGAATATGGCACTACCGTGTTCATTTATAATTAGTCGTATTATTCGCTATCAAGGTTTACGAGATTAATGGTAGTATTGAATGTGAAAATGTATTACATGATCACATTTTAGTTGTTATTCTTGTGCAAGATATTATTTTCATAAGTTCAATGATACATCAATAAATAATCTTTAATTTTTAACTTTTTTTCTTGTAAATTTTTTCTTTGAATATATATGGTAATCAACCGCTGCAACGTAGTGGAAAAATTAATCTGGGCTGGTTAGAGCAAACAAAAAAATTAGATTTAAATACATAATTCAAGCATTGAATTTATTAAAAGGTGCAAAAATTATGAAAGATGCCAATTATTCTTCCTCCTCATTTTTACGTAGAAAGAAATGCGTCTTCTAAATTTATTAACTCAGAATTTTCAGTATATTTAAAAATTTTACATTTTTCATTCAAAGTCTCTCTGGTACTTAGTTGTAAAATAACACCAAATAAATAAATACAAGTACTGAAACTTGTTTTCTGTGATGAGATTTTATTTAACCTTTAACAATTTTTTCTACTCTCATCAAGTTTCTGTTAACCTTAACAAATTTTGGATAATATTTTACACTTGGGCGCAATGCAGTATCCAAGAAAACGAGCAATAAATTGCACATCTGTCATACTTTGCACTTTTTAATAACCAGTTTCCTTGCATTTCGGAAAAAAGAGTAAAAGCTTTCAGCCAAGGCATCCGCACCCCATAAACATATCGTAATGCACTCCAAACTCGTTCAATCGTTTCGGAAAGTTCGAGGAAATCGGGAAATTGTTTTTACAGACCAAAAGCGCACTGTGTTACGAGTATACCTATACGTGCGGAAAAGTTTTTCGACGAGACTTCACGATTGTATGGCACATTAATGTTTGATGGACAATTCGGGATAATGCTTTTTCTGGTTATGACACAGTTACCATACGATAAAAGAAAGTTACAATCGATGTTAGTCAAACTACGACAACAGTGTATGTTAATGTTACTGAACAATTACTATTATGTATTTACTCGATGTTTTTGTCAGTTTCCTAATATACTTTGTATACATTTTTACGATGATTCTTACGTATAAGATTGTATTTCGTGAATTTTTATTTGTACATCTGACAATTTAATGTAATTAAAATTATTATGTTAAGATTCTTTGAATTTTTGTTTTATTTGTATTTAAGACAAAGGGTAGCTTATAATTTCTTTAGGATTACTTAAATATTAGTTGAAAAAACGTCGTTTTGGTAGTTGGATTCTATCTTAAATGTTTTTTACGCAAAATTTTACTATTACAGTGGGAAAATTAACGCGTGGAAATATGTTTTTCTTAATTTAGTTTGACAAAAGTTTCGACAAACCTTTGTAATGACGTTACGTCAACATCAAATTTTTATCACTGTTTAACGAAATAAGTTTCCAAAGCATTTCCAATCATCCGAAACATTTGTAAAAGATTGATTATTTATGTAAAAAAAAAAAAAAAAATGGAAATAAACGTTTGTCAATAAAAGTGGTGGTATAAAAATCGACCGACCAAATGACGTTTGATTACATCATAGAATAAATTTCCCAAGGAACTCTCACTCGTAACTTTTTCTCTGTTAGAACATTCGTGTCGTAAAAAGAAATTGTTATCGACCAATTAGATTCCTCTATAGCAGCTCGAGTGTGCAATTCCCTTAAACAATAAAAAAAAATCCCTGTTTCAAAAAAAAAAAAAAAAACTTCGCGTGCCGAAACCATCTACGCCGAGACATTCGGACGATCCGAGGAATCTCCAGAAGTGTGTGTCAAAGCTGTCGCCGGTGTCGGACCTTGTCTGCCTTCTCGTCCCTCGCCTCTTGCGACTGGCCTTCGAGACGCGCCAAATACGCTTTGGCGTAAATTCCCTTTTCCTTGAGGGATATGGGCGTGGAAAGTAAGGACAACGTTAGGACTGACTGACGAGGATTTTATTTCGTTCCGATACCTCGGGGAGAGAAGCAGGAATGCGACAGAGTCGCCTTTTTTGCAGTGCAGCAAAAATCATAGCTACACTGCAAACCCTTTTTTCTTTATTATTTTCAAACTTGACTCGTGACACTACTACCAAATGATTCTTTCAGTAATAAAAAAAAAAAAAAAAAAAAAAGAACACTCCATCAATCACCACCAGTGACGCTGTCTTGCCTTCGTTACTTCGATTAACTTTGGTTAAACAACCCACCCCGCAATCTGAAAGTGACGCTCTTGCTCCCAACTTAATCCATCTTACCTTCAAACATGAAATTTGCAAACTTTGCATTTCCTCCAGGGGTATACGAGTGCCTTGAAGTTTTGATTTTTCAACACTCGAGAACTTTGATTTGCATTAATTTTGCATCACTCGTTTTTCAGCCAACAATGCGATCCAACAAGATTGACAAGATGGTGATCGACGGCCACGTGATACCCAATCACGTGCTCTTCACGGCTCCGACCCCAAGCAACAAACCGTACGAGACTTTGGCTTTTGGGGACAACCTTAAGGTCACCATTAGTTTCTCAACCGAACGGTCCGACAAGGGTAGCGACAAGTGTAAGTTTATTGAACAATAAATAAATAGTTATGTCGAGGTAAAAGTACAACTTGTGAAACAGACCTTGGAAGACTTTATTCTCATGAGAAAGAACCGAAAGTCAATAAGTTTCTATGGTATTAAACTGAAAGAAAAAAAAAATTCTTTTTAAATCATCAAAAGATAAAAAATCTACATACCAGTTGAAAAATACTCAACTTACTCTACTTACTTCTTCAACTTACTTTTATGTACAATCATGACAGTATTTTTAGCTGCAATAGAAAATTTAACGGGTTATTAATAATTAAATAAAAAATTAATAATTACAACTTTTTTATTTGCACAGTTTTTTATTTATTTATTATAATAACTTTACAGCTGTTTCGGCTGTTACGACATTGTCAAGAGGTCGACATATATTTTGACAGTGACGTAACAACCGAAATAGCCTATAAACTAATAACATAAATAAAGAAACTGAGAAATTACGTTTTAAGTATTATTAATAAGTTAATCATTAATAACCAATGGATTAGAAATGTTTAACAAAAATCTAACTCAATATTTACACTGTAGTCAATTGAATGAAAGTCATACTGACCGTATAGGAAGACAAATATGACAAATGACTGTCACTTCGGGATTTGGATTATTCGTTTTTTTTATCAAAACACAAGAGAAACCGTTCCACAAGTAGTTCTTTTACTCCATGTCTTTAAAACGAAATGATTGAATGAAAAATGTTTTTCTAAATTACACAGACTACGTCAAATCGGACACGTTGGTGGGTGACTCACAGCACCCGTCAGCCTCGGTGTTGGCTGAAATCGTCAAGCCAAACATTCCCGTGAAAAACGGCGTCGTCCATCTGATCCTCAATCCACTAATGGTCGTTGACACAACCGTACAAGAGTTCATTCAGGTCAGTCCACCGTAAATCTCTTTCTTTTTTGTCTCCGTTTTTCTCATCATTATTATCCCCCCCCTCTTTTTTACAAATCAGTTTATATGTACTTATTGTAAGCGACGAGATAAGAGCGCTCGGATGCAATCGAGACGATAATGAATCGTTCGAGTGCGTCTTGGACTCGATCTACTGTCTGACGATACGCACAGTTGTACTACTGGCTGAATGGCGTTAGGGAAGAAATTGGACTGGTTTCCGATGAACATGATTTTTTGTACTAATATATGTATATTGATTGATTGTGATAGAAATAACAGGGACTATAATAATGTTTGCTTACTTTTAAAAAAAATTAATCCCAAGTGTAGAAAACAATTGGTAGAAAATATGTTCTAAAGAAGTAAAAAAAAATTCTGAAAATCGTCATTGCATGACTGTTTACATTTTAGTTTTTTTTTTGTAACAATATAAAAAATAAATCAATAAAGTTTTTGGTCTAACCTTTTAGAAAGTTTTTCTTCTTGATTTTTAATATCAGTGGGTGTTGAAACACAATGGGGTAAAATTAAGCTATTTGAAAAAAAAAAATTTCTGTACCAATCATAGAATATTTTTGAGCTTTCGTAATTGAAAACGAAATAAAAAGTGACACGTTGCTAATGAATGTGTTTGCTTCGAGTGCAAAATCTCACATCACGTTCTTGAGTGGAAAACATGACTTATAGTAAAATTATCGCAACAGCGTCCCTCCCGCTATGTTCCCCCAATTACCGTCCATAATTGGATACAAAAAAAAAGGGGGGGGGGCAATAGAAGAGCAAGAAAACGACGAGGGAGCGGCAAGACGGCAAATCAATTATGCAAACTTTCGTGGAAAGTAAGTCCGGAAAACTTTGAGCCACGCGGCCAACACACAGAGCCAACTGAAAGAGGAAACGCGAGGAGTTTGGCAAAACATTCTTTCGCCTGATTAAACAAGCCCGGAGGCGCAGTTGGGAATTTCGTCGTTTTTTTTTTTCAATTTTATTTTTTGCTGCTTTGCTATTTTCAGAGCGAAAAATACTTGAGAAAAGCAGCTGAGTTGCGCGCCCGTTTCTATGCTAAGTATGCAAACGTACCAATGTTTTGGCGCGATCATTGGAATTTTATTGAACTACATCTTTTTTCTTGGAGGATCGACGTGCTTGGGCTCTTTTTTTTCCATGCGTTCGGTGGTTGGGTGGGTGCGATCAATACTTGAAACGCGCAGCGACGAGAAGGAAGAAAAAAAAAAAAAAAAACTCCTCATCGTTACGTGAAACAAAAGCTCTTTCGATCCATCTTATCGGCGCCTGGGAGGGAAAAGAATGGCGTCTCATTTTTCACGTTGAAGGAGGTGCAATCTGGATGGTCAATGGAAAAAAGTAACATCCGGCTATTTTAGGTGCTTCAGATAGATTTTTGGGAAAATTCCTCAATTTTATCCAATTCTTCGTGAACATATTTTTGTATTAAATTCCTAAATTTGTAAATTTGTAAATTTCATACGCTTCGTAAAATTGATTTTCTCTTCACTAAAAACGAAAGAAGTACCACTTTTCGTAAGACCCCGTGATTGGCTTTTCCCCCTTGTTCATACCTCGACTCGATGAACAATTTTTTTAAGTTGCTTACAATTCCGTTCGCAATCATTTAACTCCCTAACCATTTGACACTTCCAATAAACGCGAAACGCCAAAACCTATTCAAAAAACTTTAACCCAAACAAAAAAAAAAATATCATGAAAAATTACTCCAAAGCAAAAGTTCGTCCGTACAGAGGCGCTCGAGTAACATCAAACCGCATCCGTACGCCACATGGTATAGGTGTACAAAGGACGACGAAGCGCGCGTCTCTTGTTCCCTCGTCAAAAGGCTTCGCGCCCTACAGTAACTATATACACCCACACGGTGAAAAAGAGCTAGCGAGTGGTAAAACAAAAAAAAATAGAGAGACGGTCCATTTGGCGCCTTTTCAGACCCCCGATTGTTTCTGTACGCGTGTGCTTCGAAAGGCACTGCAAACGCGCAGTGGATCTTCCTGCACGTGGTTGACAAGTCAAGGAGGTGTCTTTTTTCGAGACTCTAAAGGACACTCGATTTAAAAAAAAAAAAGGGGGGGTGCTTGCAAGGAGGCAATTTTCTACACGCAACCTCGTTTTCATCGGTTCTTCTGATTCTAAAAGATAATTTATCCCAACCGCAGAAAACGAATCGTCGACAAAGAACTGCGTGCTGTTGAAAAAAGAAGTTTGAAAAAAAAAAAAATCCTCGAAGCACCTTTGAAATTCCTATCGACTCCTGTAACATGTGATGAGCTTACTTCTTGGGGACGATCACACTTTGGGGAGGGCGTCAATGTGTCATCGGCGATATTCTCGCGAATGAACCGGCAACGCGACCCACACATCACGTGAGCCAATCGTAGCTCAATATCCGACGACAGCCAGCCTAATCAGAGGGAAACAGCACAGCGAGGAGAGTCAAACGGAGCATACGGACAGATAGACGGGCATTTCGCGAGCGTCTCGCGTTGCGATACAAACACCGGGTGATGCGCGCTTTGCATTCCCCGCGCGTGCAACAAGGGGACGCATAGCCGAGGGAATAACTAATGGGTTGCAGCCTATGGAAGCTAATGTTCTGTAACTCACGGAATTTCCAGGGTACGTTGGTCGCAGTGTATACTCTTTGATGTAGGCATGGATTCTGAAGTGTCGACGGGACTTGGATAGCTAAAGTCAGAGGGAAGGGTTTATTCCTCGCCACAAAATCCCTTGTAACATTGTTTTGGATTGTCAGTTCCAACCCTTTCCCATTGATTCCTCTCTACGATATAAGCTAATTCAAGAAAATAAGGATGTACAGTAAAATGGGATTCAAAGAATTTGAAATCGCAACTCCAATTGAGTAACTTACTTGTCCACGATATCCATCCATCCGTCTGATGATTGAAATTCATCGTCAAAGTAAGGAAATAAATATACAATGACTATTTCACGTAATTGATTTTGTATGCATATGCTATACATGAATATAAACGTAGAGATTTTCTAAAAAGTTGAGTGAGATTATGTTCATACATGATTTCGGGTTCCAAGGACTATATGTACAAGTCTATTGGTAAAATCAAGTTTACGACATTGTTATTTTAGGTGCATTGTTTAGTAAAACGAAGGGTACAGATTTTTGAGTGTATAGATCTTTGAGTATCTTTGTGCTGAAAAAGTAATAAAAATTGTAGTAGTTTTTAAACGAAAAGTTTGAAAAAAGTGTTGTCATTTCATCAGGAGTTACAACTGTGCGATATCGTCAGACAAGCGTACAAACTGTGATTAGCGCAATCGCAATACCAAAAATAAAATCGGATCCTGCAATTGTAATACAATGTACAATGTATAATTCATTGAAGACTCCACAGATGATGTGTCGTTTCTACTTACCCTATATTTGTTAAGTGTACCATCGCATCAGCGTCAAATGGAAATGTTCTCTCGGTATATATTGCACTCGAAACGAAAAGAAAGTAACTTTTTTTTTTCTTCAAAACAATTTGGCCTTTTTCAAAACCTCACCATATGAAAAATATCACACCCACCGATATACGATCCACACGAATGCCATCAAAGGACACCCAGAGGAAAATACCAGAGTGTCCATAATTATCAACAATTTAATTCTGTTATGTATACAATACATATACATATTTGCTCTTTCTACGTATAATAATTATTATATATGTGTATGCCTCTAAAAAAGTGCACCTCTTTCCTGCAATCGCACCTACAAAACCGATCGTTTGTTTCATGTGTATATATATATACAATACACACGTGAAATTAAACGCAAAAACTAAAGCAAAGGAACAATGCATAATACAAACACGAGAACATTTTTCAATGTTGTACATGAGTATGAACAATCCATCGAGCGAGAGCATCGACGACACGACGATCATATAAATATGCGAATGACTGGAATGTTCACGTCTGCCACTGTCATGTCCGTATACTCTACTAACTCTATGTACTTTTACCATTATACCTACTGCCAGGCATTTCTCTAGTGGATAGTGACACGCTGTGTATAAACGTATTACATTTTTATGAAAATAAATTTGCATTCAAATAAAAAACAACATGATGCCATGTTTTTTTTTTTTTTCTGGAGTGTTTGGAGATCGTCTTGTCATTTACTACACCATATGATTGTGTCTACGACACAATAACTGTCTTGATGCCTATTGATTTATATCTCTGCACCCTGTATATCTTTGAGTCTTGGAAAAGCTGTGCGATCGAGTACCACATGTTATATTCGTATTTCATAAATATCAGAACAAAATAGATGAAATCGCCAGCAAACGCGCATTTTCATGATAATACTGATGTTTTTTTTTTTCGCATTAACTTTGTATTTTATTTCATCTTTTTTTTTACTGTCAGCTCACTTTAATTTTACATGTATGCCTGACTTGAATTTTTGTTTTTCTTTTTAAAGCCCTTCGACTCGTTTCGATTGACTTGCAATGATTTTTTGTTTTTCATTGTCATTGAAAATTCTCGTTTCCACTTTGTGTCGGTGTTACACATACATATGCACTTTTACACGTGAATCAAATCATAACTGTAAGTCAAAATTTGTTTGTCGATAAAAATTTTGAGTCTCGCAGTTACTTGGTAACTAATTAATTTCAGGTTTACTCCACACACACACACGCACTATACGTGTATTAAGAAACGAAGGAGACAAAAAATTGTTTAGAAAAAAAAAAAAAAAAAAAAAAAAAGACTGTGAACAAAAACAGTGTTCAGTGACACTATATACTACTATCTCGCTTCGATGTTTAGGAAAAAGCACAACAAAAATGCTGAGCACTGTCGTCCATGCACTGCCTCGTTGTGAACCTCGGCTATACTCTCGTGCATACATAGGAACGAAAACGAATTGAATTTTTCATGATTGCACGAGTGTACTTTTAATCAAATTATTTTTCAATGCACTCCAAATGATAAATATCTCTCATCTTTTATATTTTACTTTCTTGTTCGTCAATGCAACTTTGGTGAATCACGTGTTTTTTCATTTGATTTTATTTTCGTACGAAAAAAAAACGACAACAAGAAAGTACAAGCTAAACAAAAAAAAAAAAAAAGTAACTAAGCAGCAAAGGTGCTGTACCAATGATGATTCCCAAAAAGTAACCACAAATGTGTACACAAATACACACTCATCACACGTTTGGAATGCGTAACAAAAAAGGTTTCCGAGAAATTTGTATCTGTAGTACTTGAAGCATATCCCCGCTACCTTCGAGACCATAAAACAGACAATAGTAGAAAATGGTATGCGTTTCAAGCTGCTGTATTGATTCATATGTATCCCTATAACGATACGATCCCAGTAGACAAATCGAAAGTACCAATCTCCTACTACCCAATGTCTCAAAGTATGATAAAAAAAATCATGAAAAAAAAAAAAATCTATTTTGTACTTTCATACAGTAGTAAAGTAAGTACATGTGAAGGTACCAAAGTTTTTTTTTACTCAGCCCTCTTGCATCTTTTTTTTTCCTCCGTAACCTTTTGAGCGCTGTTTATTCGAGTACTCGAGCACCTCGAGAGAGAAGCTCCTGCCTCTACTTGAAGGGGCTATCAGCACGGTAAGGTCGAGTTCTTTGTGTCGCTTTTTTTCTCTTACATGGCGACTCGACGTTCATGGGGAAATATTTGAATGAACAAGGAAAATTTTTTTTTGTAGATATTAAATTTATTTTAAAATTTGTTCGTTTAAAACCAGTTGTTAGATTTATTATTGTATTTGTAAAGGATAAACTTATAAATTAAAGGTAAAGTTATAAATTAACCCCCTAAAGCTAAGAAACGACATTTTAAAATAATGCTTTTGGGTCAAATAAAATTCATTTAATGTTTAACAAAAAGAAAAAAAAAATCTGACGTTGAATTCAAAAACGTGTACATGAAACTGGGGAATATGAAAATATGATCCCACATCGCGAACACCAAAGGCGCCGCGGTTAGCGGAAAAAGAAAAATCTCGCCAAAGCGACAGACAGCAGACAGCGGAAGCAAGGATAGCTCCTTCGTTCCTCCGTACAGCATCATCTCGATGTGCGGGAGAATCTATCTCCGCGCCCTGATATTATACGTCTTGAATTTACCTCTTCCCGTACTTCCTCCTCTTTTCTCTCTTAAAGAGGATGGTCCGCGAGATGTTTTCGCTCGACAGACGTTTTCTATTTAAATTATTCCGAATGGAGATATCTCCTTTATATTTTTTTTTCTTTTCTTTCTTTCCTGCCTTGTTGTCTTCTTTGAGCTTCTGCCTTTTCTCTCCGATCGCAAAGGAGAAAACGGAAGCCTCGCTTGTCTTTGACCCGAGTGCACTTGAAATTTTTATTCGCTTGGGATCGAGGATACCCTTTTTAAAATTCCGTTTTTAGCAGAAAAGTGGTAGTTTCAAACGTTTTGCTACAACTGTATGATTTTTTATTTAAAAAAAAATTAAAACATTACACAGTAGCGTTAATTGCAATTTTGTTATTCTTCTTCCTGAATATTCTGAAAGGCTACTACGTTAAGAATTCAAATGATTAAATTTTTTTTTTTATTATTTCACATTAATTTCATGACGATCCTATTGTCTAACTAATGAAAAACTATTTACTGGATTTTTTTTAACTCGTTTGAATTTTAAAATAATTTTAAATAAATTACTATACAAAATATTCAAGTCATATTCAACATAATTAATTTTGATATTGATATCAATTTTTATCATAGTTATTAACCGAATAGTCCAATTATTATATTAATTTTTAA